TGATTTTACTTTGCGTAATATGAAGTGGGTGTATGTTTGATAAATTTAGAGCGAAAAATTGTTGTTCAGTGGCACGAAAAGGGGTAGGGTTGGCCCAACATTTAACTATTAAAAAACACAAGACGTCTCAAGTATTTCTTTAGGGTAGGAATTAGCCGTCACTGATTTCTTTTACGGACAACAATGATTTCATAAGAGATAATTTAGATTTGGGAAGTGAAGGTCATGTCGAGAGGAAAATAATTCGAAGTGTAAGGGGTGCAAAAAGGGTTAGTGTAGGCATATAATATATATCTGAAAAATACCTTTCAAAACTTAATGATGTTAGAAACGTAAACATTAAATATATACTTCTTTTAAAAAAAAAGGAATTGTGATGAGTTTTCGCAATAGCGGGTAGAAATTATTGCAAAGTGCCATTACTATCCCGATAACATCGGGTCCTATAGTCCTATATATATATATGGTAGATTATGGTAGATTACTTCCATTTCCTGCTGCTTCCTATTCAGTGTATTTGGAACTGAGATTATTTTCGTAGCTTTGCTACATGCTTTGTATTTTGTGACGTATATTTGGGTATGGGAAATGGCGCTGTTGATGGTGTTATGTCTTAGGAGGAGCAGTGATGTCGTTATTAGTAATGGTGTGTTAGTGATGGAGTTCTTCATTTAATAAAGAGACGTTTGCTACATGAATGATTGATTTGTGAAATAATTAATAAAATGAATTAAATTAGATATAATTCTCTATGTTTGATAGAAAGTATGATTCAATAGTGAGTTAAATAGAGCGCAAAATATAATTCTCAATAACTACGTTAATAAATTTTTTTCTGATGTATAACGCAACTACGTCTGATGAGCATTATTTTCTTTTCGGAAAATGAAATCGTGGCAACTTAAATATGGTGCAAAAACTATTCGGTTTAAAAAGTGATTGGGTAATCATAATATTTAATATAGTTCATTTGCGTGAAATAAAAAGTTTTCAGTGACGTAACATGGGGGGGGGCGGTCGGGGGGAAGGGGTGTAGTGAACATTTGGATTCTTAAATGTACTTTACTTGAGTTCATGTCTTGTCAATTAACTTAAGTAGATGGGAAGTTCACGGATCGCTGTCACAAATTTTGTGCGAGCTGTATATAGAATACCGGTATACGTATTTTAAAATATCCAGAAATCTATGTTACTTTGATAGATAACAATTTGCTACGAGATTATGCAGTGCGTTGAAATTAAGCTCACTAGCGAAAAATAAATTCTGCTATAAAACTTAATAAAAAAATTAGATCAATGAACATCGACTGTCAAGATGGATTAAACATTCTAAAATGACACTAAATAGCGATAGATTAGCTCTCAGAAAGGAAGGCTAAAGTGACGAACGAATACTTTAGTCCACTTACGTCATCATAGTCGAATGGAACAGTGCTCTGAAACAGCAGCACTCTCTCCAGCCTAGTCTGATGACATCTGAACCACTAATTGCTTTCCGTAGCTCTCCGAGAGATCGGCTGATGCGCAGAATCTTTGGATTTTGAAAAAAACTCAATTTTTTAACCAGCGGCTCCGCTGCGAACGTGATCGTCGTTGGGCCTGGTGTCAAGGTCTCAGTTTCCGGTACTGCGCTGCCCCCTCCACTGCTCACTTTCCGTGTTCCGGAAAGTTTGCTTTTCCTCGACACGATACTGCCCTTGTACTTTCCACTAAAAACGCTGCCATCTACATCGTCGCTGAGCGTCGTTCTATTCTCTCTGGACGCCTTGCGGAAGCCGTAGGCACAAGTGCTTCGCCTTTCTTCGTGGCCCCAGATGGAGCTGGTGCTGCTCATGATAAGCGTGCCATGTGACATGATCATGGAGATAAACATATTGCGGTGCAGTTCATGGGACCTTCTTTCCGACTTGGCCTTGCTCCGCCTGCTGATGGGATAAAAGCTTATCGAATTTAAGTCCGTCGATGATTCAGTGGATGAAGTTGGATATTCGTAGAGAGCTCTAGTATTGGACGCTCGTTGACCCTTATCGTCTTTCTGAGACGATCGAAATGTTGATATCCCAGTGGCTGTCGTAATGGTCGTTGAGGATTGTGGCTTGTCGCCTAGGAACTGATCCAGATTGCTCTCGGTCTTGACCCGTTCCATTTCGTCATTCGATGCGTGTGTTGCATGAGTTGAATGCCTTGAGTGTGTCTGTTTTACGTCAATTTTCGGATAGGTTGAACTTTTTATATGTAACAAAATCATGATTCGCTTCCGTCGTCTGTAGGGGTAAAGAAAGACGGAAATTGTGATAGCTGACTAGAGGCCGACCGAAAGTGATTTTCTGATTTCGGCCGAAGCCAAAAACAGGCCGAAAGTTTAAAATGACTTTCGGCCGAAACCGAAAAAAGGCCGAAAGTTTTAAAATGACTTTCGGCCGAAACCGAAAAAAGGCCGAAAGTTAAAAATGAATTTCGGCCGAAACCGAAGCCGAAACCGAAAATGAAATATTTAGATATTTTGAATTTCGTTCCCGCATACATTTTGCATACATCGAAAATGATGTGGGAAAGTATAAATATTTACATTATTTTTATAAAAATGAGATAATTGTGAATATTAATAAATAAACATCTAATATAGGGGTCTCAAACTCGCGGCCCGCGAGCCATTTGTGACCCGCAAGACGATATTTTGCGGCCCGCTACATGACAGAAAAGTTTAGTGTAAATGCGCCGGCCCGTTTCCCCCATTCTCATAGCTATAGCGTGACTCTCCGCGACGGTGTCAGTCGAATCTCACCGACTAGTCTAATTCTGTTTTTTTTTTTTTTTTGTAATGTTTCTATATATTTTTTAATGCAACAGTGAGTAGGTGGATGAAAGTGAATCCTAGTTCTTGAGAACCCTTAATGATTGTATTGTTATTTATAAAGGTTGAGCAGATTGTAACAGTTGTAGTCGCTTTTTTGTGGATTACTTGATGAGGCCAACTCTCATTCAGACACTACCTCCTGCGCCGCCCCCCTCCCCTCTGGTGATTTGAGTTTGAGACCCTTGATCTAATGAATACTTTGGATTTTACCATTTTAATATAAAAGTAATTTAAATTGCGTTACAATTTTTTTAAAATTAGTATGTTAGGAGAAAATTTGGCAAAAATTGAGGTGGGGGGGGGGAGAAATTAATGCAAAGTATTATTTTTTTAAACCGGGTCTCTAAAAATTGTGGTTCTAAAATATCGCTTAATTTGATTTTAAAGATCGTTTAGTTGGTTGTTATTGATCGCTTAATTTGTTGTTTAAGATCTCCAGTTTTTGTTAATGATCGCTTTATTTTTTCTTAAAGATCGGTTAGTTTGTTCATAAAGATCGCCTGGTTTGTTGTTAAAGATCACTTAGTTTGTTGTTAAAGATCGCTTAGTTTTTCACAAAGATCACTTAGTTTGTTCTTAAAGATAATTGATTTTGTTCCTTAAGATCGATTAGTTTGTTGTTGAATGTCATTTAGTTTGTTCTCAAAGATCGCTTAATTTGTTCTGACATGTCGCTTATTTTGTTGTTAAATATCGCTTTCGCTGAGTATTAAATGACCGAAAACCTGAGTCACTTTCGGCCGGATGGCCGAAAGTCTAAGTCAATTTCAGCCGAAACCGAAGAAAAACCGAAAGTCAACTTTTCTCTTTCGGCCGAAACCGAAATTAAGCCGAAAGTTAACTTTTCCGTTTCGGCCGAAACCGAAACTTGGCCGAAAGTGATAAAATGGCCACTTTCGGCGCCGAAACCAAAGCCGAAGCCGAAATTTGGTCGGCCTCTATAGCTGACAAGATATTTACACCAAGAATAAATATCACGAAAGGAATGATTGTTTATTGCATAATTAATATTGAATTCCGCTTTTAGCAAGTCATGCTTTTACGCTACTCATTCTTTGTGAAAACCTAAGAATCTGAAACGACGTTTACCATAGTATCTTGGACGAATGCTGCTGGACTCAGTGAATAGCTTTGTTCCCTAGTTCGCGGCACAGATGCCGGTAAATGATAGAGTAAAAAATGATAAGTTCAGCTTGTATTCCTGTATAGTGCAATGACTTTTTGAGCACATCACCAAACTTAAATTTATTTATTTATTTAGGCATTTTTATATAGCGCTTACCGTACAGCTCTAAGCGCTTTACAATTATTAAAAACATGTAAACTATTTAAACTGCTTAAGTAAAATAAAAAGGAAAAACCAGAGACATTAGAATATTAACAACTATGTTAAAAATGACACTGACTATAGAAACAGTAGCTTAAACATTAAAATGGCTATAAAAACGAGTACACTTTGGCACGTTTTGGCCTATACTACAGAATCAACCCGAGACAGAAAATGAGGCAGGGCAAGGAGGGTGCATCACAGGTCATAGGCGGACCTAAACAGATGGGTTTTAAGGGACTTTTTGAAAGTGGACGAGGTTTCACAATGACGGATGTGGAAGGGGAGCTGGTTCCAGAACGTGGGCGCATGGAAGTAGAAGGAGCGTTCACCGATGGTCTTAGTTTTGGTTCTTGGGATTGAGAGGGTTCTATTGTCAATGGAAGAGCGTAGTTGTCTTGTGGGGATGTAAGGAAGCAACAGTTCAGAGAGATAGACAGGAAAGTGAGGGTCAGTGAACGAGTTGAAGCATAGATTGGCAGACTTGTACTTGATGCGAGAGGATATTGGAAGCCAGTGGAGTTGCCGCATGTGCGGTTGAATGTGGTCATGTTTCTTTGATTTAAAAATGAGTCTGCAAGCTGAGTTCTGTGCCTTCTGAAGTTTGTCTATGTGGTGTTGAGGAATGCCTGCGAGAAGAGTGTTACAGTAGTCAAATTTTTAAAGAATGAGCCAAGAGACTCATCACAGAAACAAAAAAAAAAAAATGTCTCTCAAGTGCCCGAGTGTCCTGAACTGTCAATGGACTTTTTTAGGCCATTTATGTCTGATACGCAGCTACATGTATTAACATTTTAAAAAATGCCCAGGTTAGCATTACCTGTACGAAGATAGAGGCCTGAGCAACAGGCCCGCGACCAGCATGTGCAGTTCGACTCCGGCCAATATGAGGTAGGTACCCCTGAAGCCGTACTCGTTGTTCAAGTCCCTGATGAACGCGGGGGCCGTGATGCTGGCCACACAAAAGCCACTGCTCGAGATGCTCATGGCGAGGGAGAGTCTTTCTTTGAAAAACTTGGCCAACATACTGACCACTGGGATTACAATGCTACCTGCTGCAGCACCTGGTCATAGATACAAGTAAGGATGTAAAATTAATGGTAAAAAATGGGCGAGGTCGGCAGGTGAAGATCAGTAACTTAATCTGTAGATTAGGAGCATGTTAATGCATGATTAATAAATACAAAATGTGTTTAAAAGAAATTAATTAACATTTAATACTATTTTTCTCATTAAAGAGAGAAAATTACTTGTCAATGTAACGATCATATGTGTGGGTTATGATGTTATTTGTAGAGTTGTAGTTATCGCTCACACTAGTCACGCACATCCACATACGTCCATGATTATCCAAACACTTACCAAGAGTACTCATTGCAGTACCATCACGGCGTTTATTAAATGATCAACGTACACATAATAAAATAATATCTCTGTATATCAGAGTAAAAAATATAATTCTTCATACAACTTCTTCCATTTCACAGTTAACATTAAGATGCTGTTAAAGATCTAAAAATGATCGTAGCAAGTGCCAATGATGAAAAAACCTCCAACCGTCACTGCCGGTTTTTTCCCATCCCATAATTCCTTTTAACTTCTTGTTGTTTTTTTTCTACTTAACAAAACAATACATTATTTTACGAAACAAAATTGATATCTAAATATTTGATCTGTGCCATTCAAGTTATGAGATATTTATACATTTGTATAAGTGGACAATAAATTTTCGGAAATGATTGAGATATGTGGTTTTTTTTGGTTGAAAATTCCGATATCTGAAAACTGTCACCGAAATAATGCACTAAAGAATATACGGTATAGCAACACATCTGCCCTCTTCCTATATAAATCAAACCCATATAAGCTATACTGCGGTCATTTGTTAAGTTTACTTTGCTTCCGGCCCACTCTAACATGAACATGTTATTGCACTCCGTTGCCCATCCAAAGGTATTTAAAAAAAAAATAAAATAATAAATACAATTGTTCTTTATGTACATAACGTTCTTTTGTCAATAAATATGCGTGGACTGCGAGGGATCCTGGCATGTGGACCCACGTTTAGAAAGATAAAACATACGGCCGGATGTATAAGGATGTATACGTGTTACGCACTGCCTTTTATGTTGAGAAATTAATCTCTTGTTTTAAGTCATGGCTGATTCACACAGCGCACAACAAAGGACGATAGCAAAGAGAAATGCATTAATAAAGATACGACACACAAAAACATTTGCCAATTACAATTAATAAGAATTAATTTAGTAATAAGACAATTACAAAACAAAGGAAATATCATTACAAAGCATCAACTTACAGAAATATTGGACAATCTTGTACCGGTACACCATTAGTACATTGTGCCAATTAATAATGGTAAATGATGAATGCGAATTAGCACACAAATAATAATACAATGGTCTCGTAAAGTTAATAATATCTACATGAATCTCCCTCTCTCTCTGAATCCCCTTTTTATATCTCTGCGTCGGTAGAAACAAAGATTCTAGAAATGTCTATCTCTCTAGTCAATTATCGAAGTTTCCCCAAAATTCTATTAGAATATTTTAGTTATTTTTAGTTGATAGTTGTGGGAAAACGGCGACTAGATGAAAGGACAAATAGGCCGTCTCATGTGGGGTCAACCAGAGTGCACACGAGAGGAAAGTTATGTAAACAGGTTCTACATAACAGTGCGCCAAGATCTGGAACTTCTTTTTATCTGCAAAAAGGGGGCGTTTCCAAGAAAAGGAGGCGGGGCTGTTATTAGGAGAAATATGAGTGGACCTGGTGCTGGCGTTCGTTTGTTCTGCAGTATGAATACATATGAGTGGATCTGGTGCTGGCGTTCGTTTGTTCTGCAGTATGAATACATATGAGTGGATATGGTGCTGGCGTGCGTTTGTTCTGCAGTAAGAATAAATATGAGTGGATCTGGTGCTGGCGTGCGTTTGTTCTGCAGTAAGAATAAATATGAGTGGATCTGGTGCTGGCGTGCGTTTGTTCTGCAGTAAGAATAAATATGAGTGGATCTGGTGCTGGCATGCGTTTGTTCTGCAGTAAGAATAAATATGAGTGGATCTGGTGCTGGCATTCGTTTGTTCTGCAGTAAGAAAAATATGAGTGGATCTGGTGCTGGCGTGCGTTTGTTCTGCAGTATGAATAATTATGAGTGGATCTGGTGCTGGCATGCGTTTGTTCTGCAGTATGAATAAATATGAGTGGATCTGGTGCTGGCGTGCGTTTGTTCTGCAGTATGAATAAATATGAGTGGATCTGGTGCTGGCGTGCGTTTGTTCTGCAGTATGAATAAATAATTTAAACATTTTAGATCACACGACCAAGCGTCATTGCATGCGGTTGCGTACAAGAATCAATAATAATTATAATAAACGGGGGAGGATCAGAATACTGATGTTTCCCTACCTTGATTCCCCTACTTTGATTTCCCTACCTTGATTTCCCTAACTTGATTTCCCTACCTTGATTTCCCTACCTTGATTTCCCTACCTTGATTTCCCTACCTTGATTTCCTTACCTTGATTTCAATACCTTTATTTCCATACCTTGATTTCCCTACCTTGATTTCATTTCCTGGATTTCACTACCTTGCTTTCACTACCTTGTTTCACTACCTTGATTTCCCCAACTTTATTTATAAACTAATTTTTTTTACCTTGATGTTCCTGTCGTGATTGTCCTACATCAATTTCACTACCTTCATTTGTCTGAATCAATTTCCATACCTTTTATTGCAGATAACACAATAAATCCGACGATTGTTGTTGTAAAGAAGACACAAACGGAGCAACTAGCATAGATGACACCAGCTAAGAGAGTGAGGTATCGTTCGCCCAGTAGTGGCACCAGGTAGGCAGACACAACAGCTGTGTCAAAAGTTTGTCGAAAAAAAACGGTATCAGTAACGCATATGTACAACAAATTATATACTTTTTTTAAAAAATGTATACATTACTAGACCACGGGTTGATTTATACATTTTAAAAGCCTATTAAGTCTAGTTAGCATCGGCATCGTGGCTTTCCAATGTACACAAAATGCTCTATGCAACATGAAGCCAACAGAGAAGTGGCTCATGAGCACAAAAGACATGCCAGAAAAATCCCAGGTCAACTCTCCACCCGAAGATGTCCTGTCGATCCCCTGCACAAGCAAATGTTTTTGGCCAGAATCTGTTTTATCAGCCATCAACACACCCAGAGCCAAGTCTTATCAGCCATCTAAACACCCAGAGCCAAGTCTTATCAGCCATCTACACACCCAGAGCCAAGTCTTATCAGCCATCTACACACCCAGAGCCAAGTCTTATCAGCCATCTACACACCCAGAGCCAAGTCTTATCAGCCATCTAACACCCAGAGCCAAGTCTTATCAGCCATCTACACACCCAGAGCCAAGTCTTATCAGCCATCTACACACCCAGAGCCAAGTCTTATCAGCCATCTACACACCCAGAGCCAAGTCTTATCAGCCATCTACACACCCAGAGCCAAGTCTTATCAGCCATCTACACACCCAGAGCCAAGTCTTATCAGCCATCTACACACCCAGAGCCAAGTCTTATCAGCCATCTACACACCCAGAGCCAAGTCTTATCAGCCATCTACACACCCGGAGCCAAGTCTTATCAGCCATCTACACACCCAGAGTCAAGTCTTATCAGCCATCTACACACCCAGAGCCAAGTCTTATCAGCCATCTACACACCCAGAGCCAAGTCTTGTCAGCCGTCTACACACTCAGAGTAAAGTCTTATCAGCCATCTACACACCCAGAGCCAAGTGTTATCATATATCTACACACCCAGAGCCAAGTCTTATCAGCCATCTACACACCCAGAGCCAAGTCTAATCAGCCATCTACACACCGAGAGCCAAGTCTTATCAGCCATCTACACACCCAGAGCCAAGTCTTATCAGCCATCTACACACCCAGAGCCAAGTTCAGAAATAGAGAAACAAAATACGAGGATTAAGGATGCCATGGTCGATCTCGACTTCTGACCTACATGTAGATTCAGGAAATAGGAGTTAATAGGGCCAATAATAATATTGTTATAAAATAGAAGCATCGTGAAATGGGCGCAATCTAGGAAGCTATACATGAAGACCTCTTTAAAAAAAATAACATCCCTTGCATATACACATAATGCTGAACGTAAGGACGTTTAACGTACAGATAATGCTGGACGCAAGATGACGATTGACCTACACATAATTCTGAATGTAAGGAAGATTGACGTACACATAATGCTGAAGTTTAAGAAGATTGACGTACACATAATGCTGAAGTTAAAGACGATTGACGTACACATAATGCTGAATGTAAGGAAGATTGACGTACACATAATGCTGAATGTAAGGAAGATTGACGTACACATAATGCTGAAGTTAAAGACGATTGACGTACACATAATGCTGAATGTAAGGAAGATTGACGTACACATAATGCTGAATGTAAGAACGATTGACGAACACATAATGCTGAATGTAAGGAAGATTGACGAACACATAATGCTGAAATTAAATACGATTGACGTACACATAATGCTGAATGTAAGGAAGATTGACGTACACATAATGCTGAAGTTAAAGACGATTGACGTACACATAATGCAGAATGTAAGGAAGATTGACGTACACATAATGCGGAACGTAAGGACGATTGATGTGCACATAATGCGGAACGCAAGGACGAATGACGTACACATATTTCTGAACGTAAGTACTATTGACGTACACATAATGCTGAACGTAAGGACAATCGAGGTCATGCCAAGAGACGCAACAGAGTAGGATGTCCGGTAGAAGTCTACAATCTCCAGGAAGAGCATGGATATTGCTGAAGCAGACAATCCCGTCAGGTAGGAGGTCAGAAAACTTGCTGAAAAAATATAAGGAAAAACGGGGTTAACATACAGGTAGCATGTGAAACTGGGTGGATAGTTAACACAATCCCCGCGCCCCCCCCCCTCAAAAAAAATAATTTAAAAAAATATTAAAAAAATAAGGAAAACAGGTATGAGAAATAAAAATACCGGGAAATCTAATCCGATATTTAAAAAAAAACGGAGAAAGTGGTTGGATATAAAAATAATAAAAAAAATAAATTAAAAAAATATTAAAAAAATAAGGAAAACAGGTATGAGAAATAAAAATACCGGGAAATCTAATCCGATATTTAAAAAAAAACGGAGAAAGTGGTTGGATATAAAAATAAAGGAAACTGGGACATAAAAATAGAAGGGATCACTGGTTGGATATAAAAAAAAAAATAAGGAAAGCTGGTTGGATCAACAAATAACATGGACAACTGGTTGGATATTTTGTGAAAAAGCAACAGAAAAACTCGTTAGAATTAAAATGCTTTATAACGGCTCTCTAGCGCGAGTGTTGCAGAAAACGCGAGTATGATTCAAATAAGTTTCAAAAAAAAAATATTGATGAGGGAGTAGGCAGTGGCACAGAGTCTGTCTTTACGGATATTTTAGAAACTTGCGGATTATTTAATGACGATCTTAAACTTATTATAGTCAAAATCTGATCACCGAAACACAGGCTTGATAACTGATTCCACAAACAAAAAACAGATCACCCAAGTCCATCAATCAACTCAATCGACTAACCAAAACCGATCCCCAAGTCCATCAATCAAATAAATCGACTAACCAAAACAGATCACCCAAGCCCATCCGTGATCAATGGGAAGAAAGTTTTCATAGTCGTAATCAGTGGAGGGGCGGTGTGATGGGCGGCTACTTAAAATGCTCATCCTCTTCTTGGCTTTGTCATTGTCACAATATTTTTGGTCTGATGCCATGTTCTGAGAGGGAAGGAAACAATGTCTGATAAAGGGGTAGATTATTTGATTCAGAAATACACACAACTATAATATTAATTTAAATATTATGTAAAATCTTCATTATCTGTTAACGTTTTGTTTCTCATATGACACACAAATAGCTTTCCAAATATCTGGAGTCCAATATAACCAGATGGGTTATGATACAAGAGCTGAGGTAGGATCTATACTTCGTTTCATAAGTTTTTAGTTTGGCTCAAAGCCCGAACACGGTTTCACAAATGCTATTTGCAAAATCTCGCTTCGGTCTCATTGATCCTTAAATAGGTGTGACAGTAGGCGAGGAAAACATAACGTTTTATTCCATTATTCTCTGCTCTTCTTAAACTGACTATTTGATATGTTTATTGCCACGTAAAAAGCTGAAATGGTTTGGCTTACTAAATCCCTCCCTGTTGCGCTATAGCCCCTGTAGGGCTTCAGCCTGCCTCACCACTTCTTTCCACTCAGACACAACTAATGATTTGCTTTTCCACACTCAGATTCCCACCTGTCGCAGGTCTTTTCCCACATCACCCAACCATCTAAGCCTTTGTCTGCCTTCGAGCCGTTTTACTCTGGGGCTTCGGTTTGTGCACCCTCTTCAATCCTCTGTCATTTTAGAAAGCCATTTTCTATTTCTGCTCCTAGCGTGGGATCCTACTATAGGCTATATAATACCTGGTTGGTTCATATTCTCCAACCATATTCATCCTTTGTTGGTCCATATATTTTTCGAAGAACTTTTTACTCCCATGTGTTTAATCATTTTTCTGCCATTTTTTTAGCATCCACGTTTCACTTTCATATGTTACAGCTTGACTGATTACACTTTTATATAAAAAAAAAATTCTTTGTTTTGCATTTAATGTTTGGCTTACTAAAGGATTACACAAATAATGATACTCTAACTCCCAATGACTTACTCAGCTCAGGATTCTATACTCCATCAATTGGCTACCATGAAATGCTATTCATAAAAAAAAAAAACAATTACCTAATTTTTATTAAAGTTTAAAACGAATATGAGTCTATTACGATAGAATCATTGTCTAACTGTAAGATCTGAATGAAAAAGTGTTGTTCTTTGTAGTGTCCACACGGTAAACAATGGCAGTAGGAATTGTGTTTGATGTTCGTGAATCTTCAATGAAGGAATCTGAAAAGTGTTAAAATAGTGCGATTTGGTGTGCATGTTAATATTTTTAAGAACTTGTTTTATTTCATTGACGCATTTTTTTTGTTATAAAGATTCATCCTTTCAAACTGCTGACATCCGTCCGTCACAATGTGACGATGGAAAGGGCTTCGGAGGACGAAATCCACATGGCCTGGGATTATTCTTAAAGGATTATAAGCTGGTTCCCAACAGCAAATCGCCTCTCCCCACGCCGCTGGATAACCCAAGGGAACATCATTGGATGATACAGCTTGGCACCAGTGACGTCGCCGGAGTTGTCGGAATCTTTCACTGTAACAATGTTATCCGCCCTTCGGGACTCCATCTTCGGGTTTGATATCAGAGTTTCCATCTCTTAGATGATTTGCCATCCAAGGCTAACGAGTCCCATCCACCCGGGCATCCTTTCATAAGGCGCGAACAAATTGGTCCTTCTTCATGTTTTATCATTGTGTAGAGTTTAACCAACTGTACCCGATATGAAGGGTGACACTATGCACTGCTGGCTTTAGCTAAATGGCGCCTAATCCAGTACGACTGCAGCAAGACATTGTTTATTTGGATTATCTTTTATCGTCCCTTCGTTGTCAATTACAATATATATGGACTAAGTGCGTCCTCATGTTTTGTTTCTTGGCATGTTTTTTTCACCACACAGTGTAAGTCATAGTGTAGACGTAAGTGTATTAAATAAGTAAAAACAAAGCGAATCTTTGGCAACTTACTGAGCCACAATTCTCTACAAAATTTTATTGATTGAAACAAAGAAGATCTTGGAGCTCATTGTCCCGCCTCTCTGTATGTTTGTTATCGGAAAAACAATTTAGATTGAGTGATACATCTGGGAAGAGGGCTACAAGCATAAACTTTTCGAGTCTTGAGGGCAACACACATGAACTTTTTAGGTCTTGAGGGTTACAAACATGAACTTTTTAAGTCTTGACGGCTACTAACATGAACTTTTTAGGTCTTGAGAGCTACTAACATGAACATTTCAGGCTTGGAGATAAAAGTTTAGGATTTAATTCTTCGTCTGATTTATCTTTAAAATTAATATGGGAGTGAGAAGCAGATTTAGTGAAAAAAATGTGACAGTAAGAGATGGGAAAGTGGAAGGTAGAGATGGGGAGAAAAATATTATGTAAGTGAGAGAAACAGTGAGACAGAGAGAGAGAGTGGGAGAGAGAGAGAGAGAGAGAGAGAGAGAGAGAGAGAGAGGATGAGTGAGAGAGAGAGAGAGAGAGAGAGAGACTTTCGAATGTAGCGCTTTAATAATTTGAAAACACATTTTGAAATTTCTATTCGACTTTTATTAATATGGGAGTGAGAAGAAGATATAGAGAAAAAAATGTGAGAGTAAGAGATGGGAAAGTGGAAGGTAGAGATGGGGAGAAAAATATTATGTAAGTGAGAGAAACAGTGAGAGAGAGAGAGAGAGTGGGAGAGAGAGAGAGAGAGAGAGAGAGAGAGAGAGAGATAGGATGAATGAGAGAGAGAGAGAGAAAGAGAGAGACTTTCGAATGTAGCGCTTTAATAATTTGAAAACACATTTTGAAATTTCCATTCGACTTTTATTTACGCAATAAGTCATTGAACATCAAAACACATGACATCAACTGAAACATATTTCATCTAATGAAACATATGACATCTACTAAAATATGAAATCAAATGAAGCGAATGACATCAACTGAAACATGTGACATCAACTGGAAAATGTGCCATCTAATAACAGATATGACATCTACAGAAACATAGGGCATCTACAGAAACATATGACATCTACTGAAATTTATGACTCTACTGTACATTTGAATGAATTTCCCTCTCTGAGAGTCATGCTACATACAATAATAATGAGTCTAAAAATGTAAACATAAAGTTTGAATGAAAGAGGAGCTAGATACAATTGCAATCTTTAAGGATATGACGCTCTTGTCATTGTATGTCACTATGTATATCGATTCGATGTTTCCTTCAAGGTGTGGTAAGACAGATAGGTAGTGTTGACGTGACAGCATGTTGATGCTGACAGCATCGTTGTGCTGACAGCATGGTGATGCTGACGGTGTGGTGGTGCTGATCATCAAAGGGATGTTATAAACGTGTCAGTGTTCTTGGGCATGTACACTGAAAATAGAAAATTGTAGGCGGCATACTTTATTCTGCTTAAAACCAGCGGGAACAAGTACTCCCCTCCAAAACACAACCAGCAGGACCCACCTATTAAGCCGTCTTTGACTGAGAGAACTTACGTTGATAACTGCAAGAGGCAAGTGTGAACTACTCATTTTACTTAGGAACTCACTGCCAAGAACTTCATTGCGTGTCTTTGTGCTTTCCTTGTCTAGGGTATGACGTGCTAAACTCTTAAACCACTACACACTAAGACTTGACTCAAGGTCCTTATAAAGTAATATTAGTAAACGTTTTTTGAATTCTCAACTTATCCAACACCGATTCTCCCGTTAATAACGAGGTCCTGCTGACAGGCTTAGCCAAAGAACGACATCCACTAACGGGATCGCCGGCAACACTACTACACGGTGCGTGGTCCGATCCCCTCGCTCTTCCTTCCCCTACGACTGACTAACTGCCCTCTCCCAGCCTTTACATAAACACCTTTGTTTCTTCTACCCCTACAGTCACCGTCCAGTCAAAATTGACCCGTACAAACTAGCTGTTCTCGTTATTAAGACACAAACCAGGCTCTCATGGACTTAACACACTGACACACATTATTAATAGACTACCTTTGATTTTAAATGGAATTGTAGCGATCAATACACTTTATTTTTCTTTCAAGCAAAGTTTTTTTAAAAATTAATATACTAAATTAGCTTTCCAAATAAATTATCAAGATTTATATACTAAATTAGCTTTCCGAGTAAATTATCAAGATTAATATACTAAATTAGCTTTCCGAGTAAATTATCATGATTTATATACTAAATTAGCTTTCCGAGTAAATTATCAAGATTTATATACTAAATTAGCTTTCCAAGTAAATTGTCAAGATTAATATACTAAATTAGGTTTCCAAGTAAATTATCAAGATTAATATACTATATTAGCTTTCCAAGTAAATTGTCAAGATTAATATACTAAATTAGCTTTCCAAGTAAATTGTCAAGATTAATATACTAAACTAGCTTTCCCAGTAAATTGTCAAGATTAATATACTAAATTAGCTTTCCGAGTAAATTGTCAAGATTAATATACTAAATTAGCTTTCCCATTAATTTGTCAAGATTAATATACTGAATTAGCTTTCCGAAAAAATTGTCAAGATTAATATACTAAATTAGCTTTTCAAGTAAATTGTCAAGATTAATATACTAAATTAGCTTTTCAAGTAAATTATCAAGATTAATATACTAAATTAGCTTTCCGAGTAAATTGTCAAGATTAATATACTAAATTAGCTTTCCGAGTAAATTGTCAAGATTAATATACTAAATTAGTTTTCCGAGTAAATTGTCAAGATTAATATACTAAATTAGTTTTCAGAGTAAATTGTCAAGATTAATATACTAAATTAGCTTTCCGAGTAAATTGTCAAGATTAATATACTAAATTAGTTTTCCGAGTAAATTGTCAAGATTAATATACTAAATTAGCTTTCCGAGTAAATTGTCAAGATTAATATACTAAATTAGTTTTCCGAGTAAATTGTCAAGATTAATATACTAAATTAGTTTTCCGAGTAAATTGTCAAGATTAATATACAAAATTAGCTTTCCGAGTAAATTGTAGAGATTAATATACTAAATTAGTTTTCCGAGTAAATTGTCAAGATTAATATACTAAATTAGTTTTCCGAGTAAATTGTCAAGATTAATATACTAAATTAGCTTTCCGAGTAAATTGTCAAGATTAATATACTAAATTAGTTTTCCGAGTAAATTGTCAAGATTAATATACTAAATTAGTTTTCCGAGTAAATTGTCAAGATTAATATACAAAATTAGCTTTCCGAGTAAATTGTAGAGATTAATATACTAAATTAGTTTTCCGAGTAAATTGTCAAGATTAATATACTAAATTAGTTTTCCGAGTAAATTGTCAAGATTAATATACTAAATTAGCTTTCCGAGTAAATTGTCAAGATTAATATACTAAATTAGTTTTCCGAGTAAATTGTCAAGATTAATATACTAAATTAGTTTTCAGAGTAAATTGTCAAGATTAATATACTAAATTAGCTTTCCGAGTAAATTGTCAAGATTAATATACTAAATTAGCTTTTCAAGTAAATTGTCAAGATTAATATACTAAATTAGCTTTCCGAGTAAATTGTCAAGATTAATATACTAAATTAGTTTTCCAAGTAAATTGTCAAGATTAATATACTAAATTAGCTTTCCGAGTAAATTGTCAAGATTAATATACTACTTTTGCTTTGCAACGGAATTTCTGATATGATGAGATAGCTTCATTTCATGTCGCACTTTTTTACATGACAGAATCGACACACTCACAGGTTGAGAATATGTGCCGTGGTCGTTGACTAAGAAATGGTACGACCTACGTAGCATCCCCCCTACCCCATATCATTACTCCAGTCTGTTTAGGATCCCCAAGTGTGTCCCCTAAGACCGACTCCATCCTACTCACACTGTAGAGTAGGTCTGCTCGGCGTGGACACGTCAGCCTGGTTGAAATTGAAGTTCTCCTCTGTGTTGAGGTCGGTCTCCGGCTCCTTGGCGTCATACTGCACTCGGACACAGCACACCACTACTGCGATGAGGATTATGATTACAGCACAACACACCCCTACGCCAACTCCAATCCAGATGCCGTCGTCATCCACGTGATCTTCAAAGAGAAACATGAAAATGCGAGATTTTTGTTTTTCCGGGAAAAGCTTTTTATAAGATTACTATGAATAAATCATTTATACTTTCAGTGTCTAAAATTTGATTAAATACAGTGGTAAAATCGTTTAAATTTGGGTCTTAAATTATTTTTAAACAAATCATTAATAAACCTATTTCGTGTATATTGTAATACGAGAATCTGTCTGTCGCTTATAAATTTAAAACGTCAGACTAGACTGTCAACCAAATTTTATGTTCAAATATTTTGACACCGCGCTCATACAACACTCACACATAACTGATACAACACGCATATAACACGCATATAACACTACTACAACACTCATACAACACTACTACAACACTCATGCCACACTACTACAACACTCATAAAACACTACTACAACACTCATGCCACACTACTACAACACTCATACAACTCCCATGAAGTCTAAACACAGTTTTTGAGAAACTAATGAGTTAAATAATTCTAATAAAAAATTGCGCTACTAATCTTGAGGAATTAATGGTAGGAGAAATGGACAGATTTATCTTCCCAATCATCACCCACCCCCACCCTCCTCCAACCCCCCTATGTTTTCACTTCTTTGCATTTTCAACATCAGGACGTTATCACTGACGTTAGTTAATTAACCATCAACTTGTTCTAAATAATGCTTAAAAATCAGATTTTTAATATTTTTTTTTATCCCATTTCATTGTTACAACTTAACTGTTCCTAATTCAATATCCCCACTCCATTGCTCTCACTCCACTGCTCCCACTCCACTGTTCCCACTTCAATGTTCCCGCTCCACAGTTTCTACTCCCTTGTTTCTGCTCCGCCACCTCTACCTTGCTGTTCCTACTCCCTCCTACTCCATTTCAACTGCCATCCACTCCGATCCCCCCCTCCATCACCCTGAACGCCTCACCTTTAGGGTATTTCTTAACAGACACAAATTTAAACTCCAGGTCGCCGGCCGGACTGCCCACTGTCAGGACGTAGGTGGTGGAGTTCTCATACGTGTTATCATACAGGATGAGGGCCACCAGCCCATTGGGCGGCACCCACTCCGTGTACGTCACGCTGTACTTGGAAGCCTCCACAACCACACTCGTGGAGTCCATCTCTTGCGTCAGGTTGAAATGTGTGGGCTGCGGGTACCCGTACACCTCCAGTGTAAGAATCGTGTTTGTGTTAGGCGAGGACTGGAGGCTGAGGATGTCCTTGGAATCCAGTGGATAGCGTAACTTTTGTGGACCTGTGAGGAAACAATGATGCTACTCAATCAGTTGACCACTTTATCATTACAAGCAAAAAAAGAAAATTGAAAAAAGTGGTAACGTTTAGATAATACTGATAATGATTGTTGATGGTCGTTAAAATATATTTTTAAAAAGTATATAACATGTTCTTTCCCATTAATCTATGCTCATGCTATAAAAGAATATTCTGATAGTTGGAATAATCACAAGATATGTTTCGGCGAATATAACTCCAGCGTCTCTGTAAAGACATGATACCTTTTCGACGTTTCGCGATGTTTTTATTTGACGAATATGCCATTTAAAAAAAAAAAAAAGCATTTTGTGCTTCAAGTTTACAGAAGTTTTAAACAAATTATATAAACCAATTATAAAACTGAGTTTTGGGAAACCATGAACATACAAGAGTCATTCACCATGAACATACAAGTGAGATTCATCTTGAACATACATGGAAATTCACCATGAACATAGACGGGGGATTCAACATGAACATACAGAGGGTATTCAACATGAACATATAGGGGAAATTCAACATGAACATACACGGGACATTCAGCTGCACAAAGGCTTCGGTTTGTGTGAATGTGCCGTGGGCGACATCACCGACAACTCTGCACATGTAGCGCCCCGTGTCCTCACAAGACACACCGACCAGAGGGAGCTGAGTCGATCCCCTATCAAAACGGACTGTCTGCATCTTTCCGAATCCGTTTCCAGAGATTTCTCCACTGAAGTGAGATGGTGAGTTTATGTAACAGTAGAAGGACACGTCCATCCCTGCGCTAACGTTGAGTGTCCTTGACCCATTGACTATAAAATAGACCAGTTCATTGCTTTCTGAAAAACCATTACAACAATATATATAAATATATATACACAAATGTAATAAAACTATATATTTTCAAACAAATGGAATGAAACATTCGATTGGATAAATTTAAAAAGAAAATACGACAATATTACCTTCAGATAAAGACCTTGTAAGTCTTGTTCTGAAGGAAGTGACCGGCAGCAAGGAGTTGTACAACAGAACTGCAACACAAATAATGGCACAAACAGAATTAGAGCACTCAAACTTGAACGTCAAATAATTGTTTTGATTTTTTTGTTTTGGTTAAGTCAAAGTTGTGTTCCATAGAACAATTCAAAAATTAAATTCTATTGCTGCTTGAGTTTTCAATCAAATTGTTATGGTTGTGATTCATTCAGTTTAAGATTTTATCCTTAAGGATATTAAAAGTAGCGAATTTGTCCCTATAACATACCCGTTTATTAGTTTTGTCCTGTTTGTAACATAAATGTAAATTGTCTGTAACTGTCCAGTTTATGTGAGATCTGAAGACATCCATTGCGCACTACAAATTAAATAGATGACATAAAACTGTGTACCTGTTAGGAGTGTAGAGAGAAGCTGGTATTCCATGTCGTTCTGTGGATGAGTCAACAGCTGCGTAGTTGTTCCTCCGTTACATTCTAACAGCACACCATAACCAGCACGTGCATATATTGGTGAGTATAGTTTGTGAAGCTAGATACTGCAGAGGACCCAATGAGCCAGTCACATGCTCACCAGTATATTGTCTTCATTATATTCATCATACTAATTTTGACTCAAGGAAGACCATTTGTGTTCATCTTCAAAGGGTTAAGCACATATAGCGATGTCTATATAGATTCCATTAAATAGATGGCGTAAACAATAAAATAAAAGCGTGCAGTAAACCATGTAAAACAGGGAGGGATGGAGATAGATGGAGATATCTAGCTAGATAGCCAGCCAGACAGACAGCTAGCCAGACAGGCAGACAGAGAAACAGACAGGCAGACAGACATAAGACAGACTGACTGACTGATTGATTGAGAGACAGAGAGTTTACAAATACTGAGAGAGAAACATAGGACATGCTGTTCGCAGTACATTTAGATCAATATTCTGGCTATGAATTTAATTTCCTTGAGGAGTGTATTGAACTCCAGCCAATGAAAGCGATCAATGAAAGCGATAACCACTTCCTGGTTGCAACTTTACACTTAACACAACATTTTTAATCCACATACTAATACTTGACCGAAGATGAAAAAAAATGTCATTGCGTTTGTGAACCATTATTATCACCATTTTAATAACACAGAAACATCTTTAGGACTCCGGTGACACTTTCAAACAAGCCTTACAATCTATTCTTCATCATTCAAACTTACACAAGTTATATTTACCAAGTGATTATTGGTTACCTTACATTTGGTCAAAAGCAATCGTCATCTATTCGTAATATGCAAACACGATCTTGAAATATTTAAATAAGAGTTAAGTAAAGTCAAATGCTGTTTGTAAATTGTTTACATATGCCAAATAAATTTGCCAGCGTTGAAACCTATTTCTTCGTCTGTCACAAATCTTCCCACTTTTGTAATAAAACTAGTCATATATTTAAAAAAAAGAACAACAACCAGTATTGAAACCGATTTCATAAGCTGATTAGAAGAACGCGTCACGTCATGAAACACATCACATGCGATGCTTGGTGGCATGTAAGCCAATGTTTTCAACGTGGCCACAAACCTGAAGCACATCAAAACGTCAAGGGGCTAAGAGAGTAAACAGGAATGAATAGTGTGTGGGGAATATCACAGCGGGAAATCTTAAGGCCGTGGGTATGTATCCAAAAAAAAAAGTGACGGGTTGGGTGGAAAAAGGGGGGTGGGGTGGTGGGGGGTGGGTGCATTCAGGCGTAACATTCATGTTTTATGTCAACAAGTTCACGGCACAGGGGTTGATGTTACGTCTGTCAAACCACCGGGGCGTCCAATAATGTCACCAGAGGTGTATACGTGGTGGGTTGTTGTGGACGTTCAGAAAGAGTTAGATTCAAGGCAGCCCACTGACCATTGGAAACAACAAAAACGGTTAATTCTTAAGTAAATAATAATAATAATAATAACATATTAAAAATTCTATCACTTTGAATTTCAATTAAGACTTGAAGTTCATTTAGACAGAATAAACTGCTAAACTTTTTAATTTAAACAAAAAATTCATTATTGCAGGTCTGATCCGATTTTCAAGGCAAATATTATTATAGTTGTTGGAGATCCGACATGAACCGCTTCTTTAAAATAAAAACGCCCCCACCCCCCCCCCCCCCCCCCCCGTGTATTTTGGCCGTGGAATCAAAGATATGTTAAAGTGTCATGTTTGATCTTGTCAAAATTAACACTAACACAAATAATTGGTTGTAATTTTTGTTCTTTTGATAGCAGTTAATCTACATTTTCTTCAAATTAATTGTAAAAGACGTTAAGAAACCAACAGTTGAGCAATCACTTTGTGATGTTTTGTAACACTTTCAATTTATGTCTGACTTATCCGTCAGTATCTCTCCCACGGATGTATTGGAGATGTATCAGTAAGTGTCCCTAACACAGGTGTGTTTGAGCTGAATCAGCAAATATCTATCACACACATGTTTTATAGCTGTATCCGTCAATATTCCTAACACATATGTATAAGAGCTGTATCAGTAATTATCCTTCAAACATGTATTGGACATGTATCAGTAATTATCCTTCAAACTTGTATTGGGCATGTATCAGTAATTATCCTTCAAACATGTATTGGACATGTATCAGTAATTATCCTTCAAACATGTATTGGACATGTATCAGTAATTATCCTTCAAACATGTATTGGACATGTATCAGTAATTATCTTTCAAACATGTATTGGACATGTATCAGTAATTATCCTTCAAACATGTATTGGACATGTATCAGTAATTATCCTTCAAACATGTATTGGACTTGTATCAGTAATTATCCGTCATATATTTATTGGAGATGTATCAGTAATTATCCCTCATATATTTATTGGAGATGTATCAGTAATTATCCCTCATATATTTATTGGAGATGTATCAGTAATTATCCCTGATATATTTATTGGAGATGTATCAGTAATTATCCCTCATATATTTATTGGAGATGTATCAGTAATTATCCCTCATATATTTATTGGAGATGTATCAGTAATTATCCCTCATATATTTATTGGAGATGTATCAGTAATTATCCCTCATATATTTATTGGAGATGTATCAGTAATTATCCCTGATGTATTTAAACTGTATCAGCAAAGAACCATTGCACATATTTATTAGAGATGTTTATCGTTCAGTATCGCTCACACACATTTATTAAAACTCTATCATTCAGTAACAATAACACGCACTTATTAGGACTATATCATTCGGTATCACTCAGACACATTTATTAGAACTGCATCATTCCGTATCCCTCACACACATCTATTAGAGCAGATCAAACAGAACAGTTTTATTTTCAAAACAAAATTTCTTAGAGTTTTCATCTTAAAACGTTTGTTTTTAATTTACAGAAACGTATACATAATAAAATAAATATATTAAAGGCATGTTAGGAATGGCAATTGAAATAAATAGTATGGTGCTAAAACGTATCTTTATTTTGTTTGTTTGTTTAAATGTATTGTCAAGATCTCCAATAAAAAAATGTCAAAGTTGATTGTCATTTGTGGTCGTCTAACATTAATGTCTCACTTAATCCCTTATTTACATAACAGATGAGCTAAAAAAAAACCAACACACTGGGCATTTAAGAGTGCATTTCACAATCAATAAACACATAACAAGGTTATAAATGACAGGGAGTTTCTCTCTTAGGCGGCTCTCTGACTCTTCACTGCTCTGAAGATGGTGAGGTGTCTCTGACTCTTCGCTGTCCTGAAGATGACGAGGCGTCTCTGACTCTTCACTGTTCTGGATAGTGAGGCGTCACTGACTCTTCGGTTGGCCTGAAGATTGTGACACGTCTCTGACTCTTCACTGTTCTGGATAGAGAGGCGTCACTGACTCTTCGACTGGCCTGAAGATAGTGATAACCTACTATGGAAAGAATAAGCCAGTTGGTCGTCAGCAATCCATTTAAACTTGGTTATATTCAGCTATCTTGGTTCAGTCAAAGTTAGGGGCCAGAATGATCAAAACATTTATCGTGGGTCCTCGAAAATTTAGAAGATTTATATCAGAAGTTGCCCTAAAATATTTGCGTCACAACAGAAACATTGGTTACAAACTGTTTAATTTTACTACTATATTCATCCAATATAAACAATTTTTAAAAACTCTTTAAGTTTGCTGTTATATTCAGCATATAGAAACATTGGTTACAAACTCTTTAAGTTTGATGCTATATTTATCCACTAGAAACATTAGTTACAAACTATTTAAGCTTATTCCTTTTTTAATAAAATACAGACATTGGTTAAAAACTCTTTAAGTTTGAAACAATATTCATCCAATATAAACATTGGTTACAAACTCTTGACGTTTGTACTATATTCATCCAATATACAATGAACGACTCCAGTGAAAACGGTAAAATGCAAATTCTAAGAATCCATCGCCAAATCTATGATAGTGATTTAGTCCTTTATTACGTCGATGAAGTTTTGCCTTGAAATCGTTAAATAACTTAAATATATTCAAGTGCTGATCGTGTTTTTCAAATGTCAAAAGTACAGATTATCGGCAAAACAATCAAGTTGACTTGAAGAAAAATTGTCCTTTTCTCTGTTTCACTCGTATTGCAGTAAAAGGAGTTACCATGATTCGTAACATAAATCCAAGGTTTTTGCATTCAGCTGTCGTTTGTTATCATAAAAGCTCATGATAAGTAGCAGCAAGCTTATCATGTTCATTGATGTCGTCCCATTGTTCTTCGCTCTGAGTTCTCAGCCATCTCATCGTGTTTTCTTGGGCCCTAACTAATACATTCAATTTCTCCTGTCAATGGATAGAAAACTTTTTAAAATTTGTAGTAACCAATGAAAAAATCGTTGTACACACCCATTGTGGTGTTCCATAAATATTTTGCCAGTTATTTATGTGATTTCAATGTTATGAATTATGATTCTTTATGTCACGTCTCACTTACAATAAATTTTAAAATTTTCTAGGCCTATCGAATTTCAATTAAAAAAAAAAAACACTAAAAATTGTAGTGTTAAACTCTATATATTTTCTTCTAAAGTTTTACTTGATGCATTTTGACCAATTTTAATAATTAAAATTTATTACTTTATAATGTTATGAATAAACGTATATTAGACTAGTTATTTTATAAGGAAAGAGTGTACATTAATTTATTAAAATTGTAAATTATTGAAAGTGACGGCATCTTTTGTTTTCTATGTAATTTTTTTTTTTAAATTTAATGGCGGAAATCTATTAATAGAATATCCGGGTCTACAGTCTGGCCAATCGCCTTTAAGGTATTAATAATACATCATGGTATTCCGTTTGGCGAATCTCACAACAGCTGTTCGGTACTTCTAAGTTAATGTGAGCCAGCATGCTAGGTCTTAACCTATACGAAGACGTGTTTACAACTTTATTTTACGAACGATTTTTACAAACAAATTTTTATTGCTATATATATATGCGGAAATACATTGTTAGAAGCTATGCTTTAGGAAACCAATGTCTAAAAATAGTCACATTACGCAATGCGATGTGACGTTTTGCGGTCTTAGAAATGACAAACCCGATAACTACGATAATTACATTCTTCCTAACTCATAAAAACCCTTAATCCAATGTCCCTACCCTTGTCATTCTGACATATCTTATCTCATATTAATAATTGACTTTGAAAAAGATATAGAGCAGATTTTCGTATCTTATTCCTTCTGATTAGGAATGTTAAAACCGTTTTTTTTTTCGGCTATACGTTTTAGGTTTTAGAAATGCGGTTTTCCATTTTTTTGCCACCAGAGTCCTGTCTGTTATGTAGGTAATTTTGTTTGTTTGTTGCTAATACATAATGAGTTATTAACTTAGGTGTTTGGAGATGGGGTCTTGGGTCAGTTCCTATGTTGTTCCCCCCTTGAATATGGCCCCTGCCTGTAATGATTTCTAAGCCTTTCCTCACACCCATGACAGATGGACATGACCCCTACTTGCCAATGAATTCTTAACCTTTCCTCACAGTCATCTCAGATGGAAATGTTATTTCACAAGACAGTACCAGCCACGGGTGAATGGGGGGAGGGGATGGAAAGGGCTGTTCACCCTGGGAGGCTTTTTATTTTAAAATTTTTCAGAGGGGGCGTCATTTTTGGGTCCACCTCATGTAGCTAAGATTGCGTATTTATCTCTTAGTGTATCACCTTTAACTGGTATTTTTCGTCAATTGGTTGTTTTTTTGTTGGTTTTTTTTTTTTTTTTTTTTTTTGGGGGGGGGGGGGAAAAA